GGAGGGTAAGATCAATAATAATAGTAAAAAGGAGAAAAGTATTAATAATAATAGTTGTTTTAAAACAGACAAATACACGCAAACTAATCACCAGAAAAAAAGAATGTGAAAAAGAAAAAAATAAAAAAAGAGAAAAAATATATACATATTGCTGGAGGACAGGGCAGGGCACCCAGGCTCCATATGAGCACACAGACTGTGATGGAGTTCCTGTGGGCCCAGAAGGTAGGTAGGACTGGGGGATGGCCACACCTCCATTCACCAAGCAGGTGTAGGGTATAAGAGTAATAAGAGGAATGTGGTACCTTTTCAGTCTTGTAGGTCCAGAGTGACCTTGGGGTTGCTGGAAAGCGGAACGAGTTCTTAAGCCCCAGGAATCTGTGAGCGTGCTGTCTGTTTAAATATCCAAAACAGTCAAGTGGCTTTTAAACGTTCAAAATGGTGGCCCCCTCTGGACGGCAAAAGTCCACAGCTCAGCCTTCCTTTCTCTTCACCTTCTTCGTTTATTCCCCAGCCACCAGAGCGGTCCTCTGTGCAGTCCCTGGCTAGCAGGGCTGATTTTTAGATTAATTTTTAGGTCCTACCAGCACTCGGGAATCTCCACGCTGTCTGTGTTGTCAGCTTCGCTCAGGATCACTGATAGACCGCAGCTCCGTATGTCTCCTTTTTTGGTATTTTCATGCAAATTCTTCTGCTAGTTGGGATTTAGTCCACTTCTATATCCTCTCCTTCAAGTCTCAGGGGTCCAAGATTATCATCTGTTTTTGTGTTAATTGCTTTCCCTTTTCTTTGTTGAAGAGGTTCTGTGCAGTCTTTCTGCCTAGTCTGCCATCTTGCCCACTTGTCATTTCAGAAGCTGAAATAACTGAAGAAAAAATTCAAGACTTGAGTTGCAATACTGAAGGATTCTATGGACAAAATATTGAACAATGCAGGAAGCATCAAAAGAAGATGGAAGTAATAGAGAGAGAGTCACTGTACCAAAAGTGGGAGTTCTGGTGGCATAGTGCCTAGGCACTTGACTGCTAACCACCCACCAGCCGCTCTTCTGAAGGAAGATTGGGCAATCTACTTCTGTTGAGATAGTGCCTCGGAAACTTTAGGAGGGGTTGCTATGAGTCGGGATCAACTTGACAGCAGTGAGTTTGTTTTTTTGTTTAGTACCAAAAGCTGGTCAATGGTCAACCATTTCATGAGGTAGCATATGATCAAGAACCAATAACAATGAAGGAAAAAGTCCAAGCTGCACTACAGAAACTGGTGAAAAACAAAGCTTCAGGAACTGACAGACTACCCTACTGAGATGTTTCAACAAACAGATAAAACAGTGAAAGCACTCACTGATTTATGCCAAAAAAAATTTGGAAGACAGCTACCTGGCCAACCAACTGGTAGAGATCTGTATTTTTGCCCATTCCAAAGATGATCTCACAGAATGAAGAGATTATTAAATAGTATCATTAATAACACACCCAAGTAAAATTTTGCTGAAAAAAATTCAAAAATAGCTATAGCAATACAGAAAGTTAAGCTGGATTCAGAAGAGTACACAGAACAAGGGATATCATTGCCGACGTCAGATGGATCTTGGCTGGCAGCAAAGAATGTAAGAAAGATGTTTACCTGTGTTTTGACTATGCAGTCATTGAACTGTTCATCATAACAAATTATGGATAACACTGTTCATCATAACAAATTATGGATAACACTGTGAAGAACAGGAACTCCAGAACACTAAATTGTGCTCATGAGGAACCTGTACTCAGACTGAGGCAGTTGTTCAAACAAGGGGATACTGCGTGGTTTAAAATCAGGAAAGGTTGTATTCTTTTAACATATTCAATCTGTGTGTTGAGTAAATCATCCAAGAAGTTGGACTATATGAACACAGCATCAGGATTAGAGGAAGACTCATTAACAATCTGTGACATGCAGATGACACAATCTTGCTTGCTGAAACTAAAGACCTGAAGCACTTACTGAGGAAGATCAACTACAGCCTTCAATATGAATTATCCCTCAACAAAAAGAAAACAAAAATCCTCACAATTGGACCAATAAGCAACATCATGTTTAAATGGAGAAAAGATTGAAGTTATCAGGGATTTCATTTTACTTGGATCCACATGGAAGCAGCAGTGAAGAAATCAGATATATTGCACTGGGCAAATCTCCTATAAAAGACTTCTTTAAAGTGTTAAAGAGCAAAGATGCTACATTGAAGACTAAGTTGTGACTGACCCATATCATGGTATGTTCAATAGCCTCATACACATGTGAAAGCTGGACAATGAATATGACCAAAGAATTTATGACTTTGAATTATGGTGTTGGTGAAGAATATTGAGTATGCCATGGAATGCCAGAACAAATAAATATTTCTTGAATGAAGTGCAGCCACAATGCTCCTTAGAAGTGAGGATGGAGAGACTTCACCTTTTATACTTTGGTCATGTTATCAGGAGAGACTAGTCCCTGGGGAAGGATATCATGTTTAGTATAGGGTAAGTGAAAAAGGGGAAGCCCCTCAACAAGATAGATTGACACAGTGGCTGCAACAATGGGCTCAAGCATAGCAACAATTGTGTGGATGGTGCAGGACCAGGCAGTGTTTCATTCTGTTGTACACTGGGTCACTGTGAGTTGAAACTGACTCTATGGCACCTAAAAACATAATTCTAGTTCAATGTTTTGGGTAATAATACTCGACAGGTTGTGTTGTGTATACATCCTACTGCATCCAAGAGAAGCATCACTTGGTTGATCCAATTTAGAGATGTTAATATGCATTTGTGATTTGTATCATTCTGCTACATCCATTCTAAACTGACCATCAGCCTCTCACCTAAAGGTCTTGACATCCACTGCTATCACCACCAAGATCTATTATATATTAAAAAGTATAATTTATTAGCTAGAATTCTCTTTCCTTCACCAACATTTGGTTGCACTAAGATACATTTGACTCAATTCTGACTCATAGCGACCCTACAGGAGAACAGAACTGCCCCTCTACATAGGGTTTCCAATACCCAAAGTCTTTACAACAGCAGACGAACACAACTTTCTTCTGCACAGTGGCTATTGAGCTCAAACTATGGACCTTTCAGTTAGCTGCCAGAGTGCTTAACCACTGCACCACCAAGGCTTTTCTCACAGAGTAAAGAAAATGTTCCATTGTGTACTATTGCCCCCACCCTACTTAACAACAATGCCCCAGCATGCTCCACAGCATACTATAGTATTTGTTCAGAAACAAAAGAAGTTATCAAAGGCTACAGTGGTCATTACAAAAGGTCACAGCAACCACTTGAGAAGATTCCTACTGGCCCAAAATAGAGGAATTTGAGCATTAAAAACCAACCAACCAACCTGAATTTTTTTAAAAAAAAAAAATTTAATTCAGGATATATAATACAGGTAATTTTAAATTTCCAAATACCTTCCTTTTAATTTTTATTTTATTTTATACTAGGCAGAGAATGGACTGTAGAGTATTTTTATGAAAAAATTGCCTCACCCTCTGATTCTTTAACATCTGCACTCTCAAAATCTCCACATACAATTTAAATTTTTAGGTTTTCTTCCCTGCATGAACTTTCCAATGCAGTATAATGAAGAATTTCTCACTTTCACTATTTTAATGAGAATAAATTATCTGATGTTCAGTAAGGAATGAGTGGTAGTGCCTTCACTTTTAAGTCATTATGCCCATAGTCTTTCATATGAATTCTCAAAGGAATTTTATTAATGATAATAATAAAACAAAACTTAATGGCTTAAAACAACTATTTTATTATCTCATGACTTTGTAGGTCCAGAATTTGGGCAGTAGCTCAGCTAGGTGATTCTTCTGTTGTATACGGCATCAACTGAGGTCACGTTATCATTCAGCTGACACTTGAGTCTGGAGAATGCAAAATTATTTCATTCATGTTTAGTGTCTTGGTAGAGATGTCTTGTAGTCTCAGAGCCTCTCCATCTGAACTCTTAAGCAAGGTCGAAAAACTCCTTTTTTAAAAAAGCTCAGGGCTTGAGAGTGTTCCAATAAATGATATAAAATGTGCCAGTAAAGCCTTGGTCCAGAAACTGGCACAGCAGTACTTCTACTACTGTATTCTGCTTTCTGTTGGTTAGAGCAGTCAGAGAGCCCACCCATACTCAAGGGAAGGAGATGTAGGCTTCTCCTGATGGCTTGAATAGCAAAGGATTTATAGCCATCTTTAATCTGCCACAGTATTATATCAGTATTTTACAAATGAAGAAATTGCAGCACAGAGTAGTTAAGCGCCTTAATACAACACAAGTAGAAAAGTGATGGGAAAGAGATAAGTCTTTCCTATGTTTGTTATATTAATAGTTTTAGTGTTTAGAATGAATGTGCTAATATATATTTATTAGGTTTGGGTGATGGTGAAATACATTAAGTTAGCACATTCTTTCAACAGTATAAAGTCTCTTATGCCCAATCAGTTGTATGTAGGAAGCAAAAAGTGATTCTACATTCACAGAATGTTCTACAACACAGGATTGAGAAGTCATTCTTGCATATTTACGTTATGAATTTTCAGATGATGGGTAAGATGTGAATGTTGTCTAAAGGCTTTCTTACATTCCTTACATTCATAAGGTTTCTCACCAGAATGAATTCTCAGATGTTGAATGAGAGATGAATTAAGTCTAAACGCCTTCCTACACTCCTTACATTCAAAGGGTTTCTCACCAGTATGAATGCTCTGATGTAAAGTAAGTTTTTGGCGCAATCTAAAGGCTTTCCCACATTCCTTACATTTGTAAGGTTTCTCACCAATATGAATACTCTGATGTTGAGTAAGTTGTGAGAGTAGTCTAAATGCTTTCCCACATTCCTTACAGTCATAGGGTTTAATACCAATATGAATACTCTGATGTGAAATAAGTTGTGAGTAACGACTAAAGGCCTTCCAGCATTCCTTACATTCATAAGGTTTCTCACCAGTATGAATTCTGTGATGGAGAATAAGATGATAACCACGACTAAAGGTCTTTCCACATTCTTTACATTCATAGGGTTTCTCACCAGTATGAATTCTCTGATGGAGAGTTAGTTGCTGGCGCACTCTAAAGGCCTTTCCACATTCCTTACATTCATAGGGTTTCTCCCCAGTATGAATTTTGTGATGCACTCTAAGGCCTGAGCCACACAAAAAGGCTTCCCCACATTCTTTACATTCATAGAGTTTGTCACCAATATTAAGTTTCTGATGTCGAGTAAGGTGTGCATATTGTCTGAAGGCTTTCCCACATTCTTTACATACATAGGGTTTCTCACCAGTATGAATCCTCTGATGGAGAGTAAGTTGTCCTCGCACTCTAAAGGCCTTCCCACATTCTTTACATTCATAGGGCTTCTCACCAATATGAATTTTCTGATGTACTCTAAGGTCTGGGCCACAAATGAAAGATTCTCCGCATTCTTTACATTTATAGAGTTTTTCACCAGAATGAAGTCTCTGATGTCGAGTAAGGTGTGCAGTCTGCCTAAAAACCATCCCACATTCCTTACATTCATAGGGTTTTTCACCAGTATGAATTCTGTGATGAAAAGTAAGTTGTTGGCGCACTCTAAAGGCCTTCCCACATTCCTTACATTCATAGGGTTTCTCAACAAAATGAATTCTCTGATATGGAGCAAGAGATGTATGTTTCCGGTGAGAGGACACTTTTTCAGAGGTGATTTTCACTTGACTGGAATACTCTTCTTGAGGTCCCTCTTGTCCTTCAAATTTACTTTTGCATTCCCAATCATTTTTCAAAACAAGGCCCTTAAGGCCATAGTTTTTCATTTTTTCCATTATCTTCCACTGTGATAAATTTATTTCATAAATATCATTTTCTGAAAATAACTTCTTGGTCTCATGTCTTGTCTCCAAATCTGAAAGAACACAAAAGAATAAATACATACTGTTTTCTTGTTCAAAAAGAAATAAAATATCTATGGTAGAAATAAAAGACAAAGTAATGCTCAACTGAACTTTAAATATTATTATGAAATTTGAAAAAAATAAAAAGCATAGGACAATAGGAAGAATGAGATTTCACATAAGATAATGATGCTAGAGAAACCAGTAGTTCTCAAAATTGATGTGTGGCTCAGAATCACCTGGGGAGTTTGATACAAATATTGAGGTTCAGACATCACTCAAACCACTTGGATCAGATTCTACTGCCCTGGCAGTTCTATACTTAACAGTTTCCACACAGTGTTGCTGATGGAGATCAAAGGCTGAGAATCACTATTTAATTTTTTTCAATAATATGTCTTTCTTCTTAGAATAAAATCCAAACACACCATGTTTAACAAAAGAATAAATATATACTGTTTTCTTGTTCTAGGAGAAATAAAATTTCTATAGTAGAAATAAAAGACAAAGTAATGCTCAACTGAACTTTAAATACTATTATTCATATTATGCATATTAAAAGCATAGGACAATAGGAAGAATGAGATTTCACATAAGATAATGAGGCTGGAGAAACCAGTAGTTCTCTAAATTGAGGTGTGGCTCAGAATCACCTGGGGAGTTAAGGAGCTCTGGTGGTGCAGTGCCTAAAAAAAGCCAGGTTCAAAACAGTACGTAGAACAAGGGATAGCACTGCTGATGTCAGATGTTAGAATTTGACTGCTAACCAGAAGGTTGACAATTCAAACCCAACAGCTGCCCCATGGAAGGAAGATGGGGCATTCTATTTCCATGAAGATTTATCACCTTAGAAACCCAATGAGGGTCACTATGGGTCAGAATAGAATTGATGGCAGTGAGTTTAGTTTTTGTTTGTTTGCTTGTGCTTACTTTAATACATCATCTCAAACCATTCTAACATAAATGTCTCCTTTCAGATCTTTGAATATATCCCAACTTACTACCCATCTGTCAGGACTTTTCAGAGTCTACTCCTTTTCCTACAAATCCTGTGACTGAGCTTTTTGCATGGCTGGCTACTCATCCATGAGGTCTTAGATTAAAAGCCACTTCATTTAAGTCCTACCCTACTGACAGTATCTAAAGCTATGCTATTATTCTTTATTCCTTTTCATTATAAACACTTGTCATTTTGAAATTATTAATTTTCCCATTTGCTCTGCTTATTTTCTTGACCCTAAAACTCCAAGAGTAGAAACAATCCCTACTTTATTCTTAATTAAACAATCTTTATTCTTAATTAAACATTGTAGATTTTAATTCCCAGTTACAAACTTGTTCTAAATATCTCTGTAACCTCTAATATCTTACACCTTACTACATTAAATATCCTCTTTATCCTTCTAAGCTAGTTCAGTAAATATAAAAATAGACAAAAGTGACTATATATTCCTACGCATCCTTCCAAGGCTTAGTTCTTATCTATGTAGTATTTCCTGCAATGCCCATTCCTTCCTTCACATACCCATGGATTACACTGTTCTTTGTCCCCATTATCAATCTGGTACTGGGAGTTCTACTTACTTATTTTCCCTTAAAATTATTCTATTACTCATCCATTTGAAAAATATTCAACTGGTTTCGTTCCTCTGTCCAGGTGTTCTGCCTTTCACACTTTCATAAACAATGCCATTCTTATATTTCCTAAAAATGTACATCAATGATTTTTCAGACAAGGAAATATATTTAAGTCATATCGAAGTACTTACAAAATTTTTAGCAAAAAAAGATGTGGGGATGTTATTAACTCACTAATGGTGATGTACACAGGATTGAGAGTGAAGGATTT